TTCATTATATGTATAATAGGCTCAACATTTACAGTCACAACCCAGCTATGCAGAAATATAATGGAAGACAAATTGCTCATGATCCTCCATGTTTGCTGGTGATAGTGGTGACCATTGTGTGTGTCTTTTGGGAGGCAAGAGATTTGGTCTTGCCAAGTAATTTAGTCAAATGTAAAACTTGGTCTCTTCCAACTTGAGTCTCTTGCGGAAAATATTCGCCCTCTTCCCCTTCTCCACCTGAACTGGCGTATGCAGAAATACACCTGATCCCACCTGATCTTTGGGTTGTGCCTACCATCTTTGCCCCTGCCATGGCCTCATGTCATGAAGATTCCTACTATGTACACCCACCTCTAGACCCCAGGCTTTACTCTCTATAGGCTTTCTAGCAATTTCATGTTCCTGCTTGGAGATTTAGGAAGTGTTCCCATACCCCACCAGAATGAGGGGAATTTTATAAGGCCATGGCAGGCCCATCTGGCAAGAATAAACTCTCTGGCCTCCCCAGCTGTTCTCAGACCAGGCCACCATGTTGCTCAGCACTGCAGGAAAGAGGGCCTTCTGTAGGAGTCTTGTAACGTTAGCCTTCTGGGCTGTACCCAAGAAGCAGGCTACACGTTGTTCTGCCCTAGGTGTCCTCACACTTTTCTGGGGTGGGGGCTCTCTTTCATCCTCTCAATGTTTGAAACTCACTCTGACTCCAAGTTTTTGACTCTCCAACTCAGAGTTTTTTTTTTCATTAAATGACTTCCAGTGTGGGGGGAAATTTCTCATCTATCATATGATCAGAACTCCAAACTTAGGCTCTCCCTTAAGTCTAGCCCTTTTGAATTTCAATGCAAAACCCATTTTTTCTCTCAAGTACCTAGGTCTTGTAAAACAGAAGCACTTTGCTTTCAGCCTTTGTGTCTGCTTTGAGTTAAAAACATCCATTAAGCTCTTCAGTTACCTACACTGTTCTGATCTCTATCTGCCCTGCCCATAAATACCATTGATTCAGTTGGTGGAAGCCCCAGGCAACTAAAAATACCTAATGAGCAAAAATATTTGTTTAATATTTTGACAGTTCTCTCTTGCTACACATACTGTAACCCTTGGAAGAAATCCTGAATTTTTTCTTTTTTGGGGTATATTTGCTGGGTGGTTTTGTTTTTGGTTTGTTTTATAAAACAAGCATACCACTTTGTTGTCTGTCAACACATGGCACCTTTTTTCTTCTTAAGAGTGGCTCAGCCTGTAATCCCACGCCTTGGGAGGCCGAGGTGAGTGGATTGCCTGAGCCCGCGGGTTCGAGACCCACCTGGGCAACTTGGCGAGACCTCATCTCTACAATAAATCAAAAAATTAGCCAGGTGTGGTAGTGCGCACCTGTAGTTCCAGCTGCTTGGAAGGCTGAGGCTGAAGGATCGCCGGAGCCCAGCAGGTCGAGGCTGCGGTGGCCGGGAGTGGCCACTACACTCCAGTCTGGGGGACCGAGTGAGACTCCAACTCAAAAAAAAAATTAAAAAATTATTAAACTTTCTGATGAAATAGCTGTATTGTACTCTTATACAGAGGTGGCAGTTGGGTTTCCAGAACCACATGGCCTGTGAAGGTTATACTGAGAACCTAGGTATTAGACTCAACCGGACAAGCATCTGTCCTGCCTCAGTTCCTCAAGGAGAAGTGCCAGATTGATGCCCAAGAACTTACCCCTGAAGGAGTAGATTTCTGTGGTCTGAGATTGACCCTTCCACCTTCAACTCAGCTTCCCAAGGACTCAGCGCAGTGCCCTGCCCACAACTGGTGGTAACAACTATTGGCTGCATGGACGATGCCCAGCTTTTACACCTCTCCTAGTCCTTTGGAAAAAAACACTTAGCCATCACAAATAAACATTGTGCTTAGTTTTACTTTTACTGCAACCTCCTGTTTGCTGGCCAGATAAAATTAGCTATAAACCTAATGGCTTTTGAAATCAGTTTGCAAGGTTTTATCTGTGGTAAGAGTTAGGTGTTTCAGTGTCAAACTTGTGACAGAGTATAATCATGAATAGCCAGGCTTCCACTGTAACAGCACTTTCACTTCCACAGGGGGGAAAGAAGGTCTAAGGAGCTAAGAAATGCAAAATCCCTTCCTCTAGCTATGTCTCCATCAGACATACTCAGCAAATAGTCCGTTATTGAATGGGGTTTGCACCAAGGAAATAGACCAATTTAATGCCACATCCTTTTAAAAGGCGGCTCTTTTTAATGGTGTGACTTTTTAATTTTGCTCCTATTTTGTGTTCCTACACAAACGTGCACATACGTGCTTAAATAGATATGTTAGGTCAATCACTGTATCTTCTTGGGCTGTGATCTCTCCCTGTCAAATTTGCCAAGGCAAACAAACTCAGTTGTCTTTGTTTTCAAGAGAAGCTTCTAATGCTACAGTCCTTAGCACAGTCTTTAGAGCGTTTTTCCAACCTTGGGATGGAAGAAGCGTTTTATTGTATTTTTCCAAGGTGCTTCACATACCTCAAATATGTAAAGGGTTGCCTAGTAAAAAGTCAGAATTCAAGAACTTTCACCGGGGTGTGAGGACAGGAACTTTGTTTTGGGATGCCTTTCTGGAGACTTGAAATTTTCCAGCACCAAAGTCCTCTTGGTTTTATTTAGGTAGGGGTTTTTATTTTATCATCCTTTTGGCCATACATTCTACAGAGGTTACTGCCCCATCATAGCAGGGAGGTCTCAGGCTGGAGTAAAGACACCTAGTCAAAACTCAGTGGAGTGAAGGGTATCTTGCTGGGGGAAGTCCTCTACAACAGTGTCTGTCTGTCTTTTGGTGACTCCATGATCTGGTCCGTGGCTTCCAAGATTGGAGAAAGATATGCTTAAAACATGGAGTAATATATTCAAATAAAATAGCTGAGTGATTAAAAACAGGGGTTTCAGAATCAAGCTGCCTAGATTCAAATTCTAACTCTACCTATTTTCACTCATACCATGGGCGAACACGGAAGTATTGATGTAATCTTATTATTTGCACATTTATTGGATAAGTACCTCCATAAGGCCAGATACGTGTTTGAAGAGCTTCTTTTGTTCCAACTCTACTTTCTTTTTTTTTTCTTTTCTTTTTTTTTTGAGTTGGAGTCTCACTCTGTCGTCCAGACTAGAGTGCAGTGCAGTGGCCACTCCTGGCCACCGCAGCCTCGACCTGCTGGGCTCCGGCGATCCTTCCACCTCAGCCTTCCAAGTAGCTGGAACTATAGGTGTGCTACCACGCCCAGCTAATTTTTTGATTTATTGTAGAGATGAGGTCTCGCAAAGTTGCCCAGGCGGGTCTCGAACCCGCAGGCTCAGGCAATCCACTCACCTCGGCCTCCCAAAGTACAAGATTACATGCTGAGCCACCGAGCCCGGTCAACTCTACTTTCAACTGCTCCCTACTCTAGCACCATTTCAGTTAGAAGGGAACCAAAGTAGATTCTCAGTAAATCTGCCATCATGTAGTTTTCTGCCTTCAGCTTTATTTTACAGTTCTTCATTGCTACTTTTGCAATCAATTCCACTTTATTTGTTTATTTATTTATTTATTTTACCCAAAAACGTGTGGAATAATTTATCAGGATTATCATTTGGTATAGATAAGATTCCATTCTACCCATGTGACTCAATTCATGCAGCCCTAGGATTCATTTTTCTAATTGCTCTGTTACTTGTACTATTTTCCTCAAACCCACGTGATCACCCTTTCTTTACCTCACTACCCCGAAGGTTCCTGTGGTAGTGTTTGTTCAGCAATTCCATGCATAGAATTGTATGCAGAGTAATTCTATCACTCGTTCCTAATGAACTGGGAAGCGTTTTCTTCTTCATGGCCTCAGTCCTCATCCTCATCCTAATGGTAAGACCAAACAGTGATTCTTGGGCAAGTTCATCTCTTCCTTGTGTCCTTATCTATAAAACAAGGATGACACCACCTCATAAGGCTATCATTACAACAAAATACATTAGCATGTAAAAGCTTGTAGAACAAAGCCTGGCACACAGAATGTTCAATACCACTTGTCCTTTCTGTTTCTATTACTCTCACTTTATTATTTTTATATAAACTATTTCTGTTTTCCAATTATCCTGTGTCTTAGTTCAGGCTACTATAACAGAATACCATAGACTGGGCAGCTTATACAACAAAGCTTTGTTTCTCGCCATACTGGAGGCTTGAAGTCTAAAATCAGGGTACCAGTTACCATCAAGTCAGGCCCTGGTGAGGGCCCCCTTCCTGGTTTACAGATGGCCACCCTCTTCTTGTGTCCTCCACCTTGTGGTGGAGAGAGGACTAGCTCGCTTCCTCTTCTTATAAGGACACTAGTCCTGTCATCATAGTTCTACCCTCATAACCTAATTACCTCCCAAGGGCCACACCTGTTAACACCATCCTAACAGAGGTTAGGTCTTCAACATTTGAATTTTGGGAGGACATAAACATGCAATCCGTAACACCCTGTATCTTAGCATGTTGTTTCAGCACCTGAGCTGTTTCTTGTTCTTTTAGGAGGGGAGGTGGGGGTCAGAGAGCCTCAGGTGATTCCTCTTTGCCCCCTCCTTTATACTCCTAGTCCCCAAACCACAGCATCACAGATACCTTCCAGACTTAGAGAGAAGACAAAGTCTATACACAAATATGCTGCTGTACAGATATTCAGTATTAAAGGCTTCAGCAGATACCATCTACCTGTCAGAAAAATCGTTAGCAAGGTCCTTTCCAGTTTTACACATACACGTTACATAGAAATATTTGCTTAATAACCGTAGCTTCCTGAAACATAGAACTTGACCTGGCATCAGCAAGGAACATTTTTTAATGCTATGTTTTCTAGCAGAAAATTAGAACGAATACTGAGAAAAATCTAATTGGAATGGATAAAACTTAATGAGAATCAAATTTTTTTATTCAATACATTAATTTTATATCCTAGCAGGATAGTAAATCAATACTGGGTATATTAAACTAAGTGTTTTCTTTTAAAGATATTCTGGAGTGTATACAATAACATCCCTCCTGTGACTAGCCTGCCTTTGAGATGTAGTTATCATTTAATGAGAGGAGAGAGGCGACCACTTTGGTAAGTGTCTAATTTGTAATTTGAGGTCAAGGTGGGAGGGGAATGGTTGTGAGCCTCATAGAAAATCATATCACCTGAGACATGTATCTCACATGAACCACATAGAGAGTCTGTGATTCTAGCCAGGCTCGGTAGCTCAGCCTGTAATCCCACACTTTGGGAGGCTAAGGTGAGTGAATTGCCTGAGCCTGAGGGTTCAAGACCCGCCTGGGCAACTTGGCGAGACCTCATCTCTACAATAAATCAAAAAATTAGCCGGGTGAGGTAGCGCGCGCTTGTAGTTCCAGCTACTTGGAAGGCCGAGGTGGAAGGATCCTGGAGCCCAGCAGGTCGAGGCTGCGGTGGCTGGGAGCATACCACTGTGCTCCAGTCTGGGTGACAAAGTGAGACTCCAATTCAAAAAAACAAACAAACAACAACAAAAAAAACCCTATAATTTAGCCGGGCTCAGTGGCTCAGCCTGTAATCCCGCACTTTGGGAGGCTGAGGTGAGTGGATTGCCTGAGCCTGCGGGTCGAGACCCGCCCGGGCAACTTGGCAAGACCTCATCTCTACAATAAATCAAAAAATCAGTCAGGCATGGTAGCACATGTCTGTAATTCCGGCTACTCAGAAGGCTGAAGGCCGAAGGATCTCTGGAGCCCACAGGTCAAAGCTGCGGTGGCCGGGAGCGGCCATTGCACTCCAGTCTGGGTGACAAGAGTGAGACTCCAACTCAAAAAAAAAAAAAAAAAGAAAGAAAGTCTATTATTCTGACCATGGCCCAGGGTCTAGAGGGAAGTGTCTTCCTCCTTTAATAACTTGATGTAGTATTGAAAATGGTTAGTAAGTTAGTTTGCCCAGGCTAGAGTCCCAATTAGTAATCCTTATGTCGTGTCATTTAACCTTTCTGAGTTATTTACTCATTAGCAAAATGAAAATGCATCTCAATTCATTTAGTAGTAAATGACAGAAATCTAACTGGAGCACAAAATAGAATTTTTTTGAACCTGTAACTGAGAAGTTCACTGGTACAACTGATTTCCAGTGGATCTAGACACTTAAATGTTTTCAGGAATTTGACACTCTTCATCAGGTTTGCTTTGTTTTCTTCTTTGTTGGCTTCATTTTTAGGCCTGATTTTAGGTTTAATTTTTTCCTATATGTCATGCCAAAGTGGCCTTAATAAGCTCTAGTCTTACACCCCACTAGTTTATCAATGTCAACCTTCACCAATCCCAATAAAATTTCAGGGCTGGTCCTCGTTGGCCCACTCTGGGTTACCTTTCCATCTCTGACCAATTACGGAGACTAGGCAGAAGCATTATTCTCATAGGCAAGTCTGGGTCATAAGCCCATCTTTGAAGCTAGGATATGGAATCAATTCTATATGAGAATAGAATATAGAATTATAAGGACACTAGTCCTGTCATGGTAGCTTTACCCTTATAACCTAATTACCCCCCAAGGGCCCCACCTATTCATGCCATCCTGTCAGAGGTTAGGGTTTCAACATATGAATTTTGGGAGGGCAAAAACGTGCAATCCAGAACACCCTGTATCTTGGACAGAGTGTGTCTGATATAAGACTAAGGGACAGGTGGCACTTTAAATGGAAATTGGAGTGTTCTTTTTAGAGAGAGGGAAGTTATTAGAGGGCAATACAATAGATGCCCATCACGGTGACACTATTAGGCCTACGATACAAGGTTGATATGAGAACCAAATTAGAGTGTCAGAAATACAATAGTGAAATGTAAAGGCCTTCACACATGAAAAGCAGTTATATTAATTGTTCATCCCCAGAGAGTCTAGAATCTCTCAACACCACCCCCTTGAGGATAAGAACTTCATGTCTCATCACTCTCCCTGCCCATGTAACTGCTGAATCCCACTTTCTTCTCTCCCCATCCCAGCCCCTTTCTTTTTCTTTCATGTGCTTCTGTTCCCATCAAAAAGACTGGAGGAGAGTTTATTGAAAAATGCCAAGCCAGGCTCAGTGGCTCAGCCTGTAATCCCTCGCTTTGGGAGGCTGAGGTGAGTGGATTGCCTGAGCCCGCAGGTTCGAGACCCGCCTGGGCAACTTGGTGAGACCTCATCTCTACAATTAAAAAAAAAAAAAATTAGCCAGGCATGGTAGCACACACCTATAGTTCCAGCTACTTGGAAGACTGAGGCGGAAGGATCGCCAGAGCCCAGCAAGTTGTGGCTGTGGTGGCCAGTAGCAGCCACTGCACTCCAGTCTGGGTGACAGAGTGAGACTCCAACTCAAAAAAAAAAAAAAGCCTGATCTCACCCCAGTTAATATGGCTTTCATACAAAAGACAGACTGGCGAGGATGTGGAGAAAGGGGAGCCCTCATACACTGTTGGTGGGAATGTAAATTAGTACAGCCACTATGGAGAAAAGTACGGGGTTCCTCAAAAAACTAAAAATAGAACTATCGTACTATCCAACAATCCCATTGCTGGATATAGATACAAGAAAAAATAAATCAGTATATCAAAGAGATATCTTTACTCCCATGTTTATTGTAGCACTGTTCACAATAGCCAAGATATGGGATCAACCCAAGGGTCCATCAGCAGATGAATAGATAAAGAAAATGTTTTATATCTATATCTATCTGTCTATCTGTATATATATCTGTATACATATATATATATATATATATATACCTGGTGTGTATAGGTAGGTAAATAGATATAGATATATAGATACAGATATCTGATATACATATATGTATGAAATATTATTCAGTCATAAAAAGAATGAAATCTTGTTATTTGCAACAACGTGGATGGAACTGGAGGACATTATGTTAAGTGAAGTATGCCATGCACAGAAAGACAGATATGAGATGGGGGGACCCCCAAAAAACTGAAATTATCTTTTGGAGGGCAGGCCCCTCCTATTACAGGCTTCTGCTGCTAAGTATTCTAGGAACCCATCAGCATCAGTTTACCAGCTAGTGTTGCTGTAAGAGTCTGTGTTCACCTTCAAGGAATTTTTTTTTTTGAGATTATTTCAACACATTTGCCCTTTTTTTTTTTTTTTTTTTGAGTTGGAGTCTCACTCTGTCACCCAGACTGGCGTGCAGTGGCTGCTCCCGGCCACCACAGCTTCGACCTGCTAGGCTCCGGCGATCCTTCCGCCTCAGCCTTCCAAGCAGCCAGAACTACAGGCGCGTGCTACCATGCCCGGCTAATTTTTGATTTATTGTAGAGATGATGTCTCGCCAAGTTGCCCAGGCGGGTCTCAAGCCCGCGAGCTCAGGTAATCCACTCACCTCAGCCTCCCAAAGTCGTGGGATTACAGGCTGAGCCACCAAGCCCGGCTGCATTTGTCCATTTTTTGATGGGCAATTTATGAGTGCACCTGCCCACACCACACTGAGTGTTCAGCAGCTTTTGACCAAAAGCAACATGATCCCCATGCTCCTCCCCATTCACCCAATCTCATCCCAAGCAACTTTTTCTTAGTTTCCCTGGGTGAGAAAAGTTCTCAAAGGGAAATGTTTTGCCAATGTGGAAGGGGTGAAACAAAAAAACAGCAGAAGCACTAAGAGGCATCAAAACTGATGAGTTCAAAAACTGTTTTGAGCAGTGGAAAAAGTGTCTTGATAGGTGTATTGTATCAAATGGAGAGTACTTTGAAAGTGATTGAAGTTTAAACATGGAAGAGTAGATACACAATCTTTTAATAAATAAATTACAGAGGGTTTTGGGGTCCCTCCTCATAACTCATGTTTCATTGATAGGTGGGAGCTAAAAAAAAGAACTCATGGAGGTAGAGAGTAGAATGATGGTTTCCGTAGACTGGGAAGGGTAGCGAGGAGTGGGGATAAAGAGAGGTTGGTTAATGGGTTAAAAAATACAGTTAGATAGGAAGAATAAAATTCAGTGTAAAGTAGCACAATAGCATGATTATAGTTAGCAATAATTTATTGTTTCAAAATAACTTAAAAGGTAGAATTGGAATGTTCCTAATACAAAGAAATGATAAACACTTGAGGTGGTAGATACTCCAAGTGCCTTGATTTGATTATACACATTGTATGCTTGAATCAAAGCATCACATTACCCCATAAATATATACAACTATTATGTACCTATAGTAATTAAAAATTAAACAAAAACAAAGAAAAATGTCCAATCACTTTTGTTTTTAAGGTCATCTGCTGTTATCCTAAATGTATGTGGAAATGCTTAACCTAAATGTATATAGGATCAATTAATCCTTGAGTATAACTTTCAGTGTTGGTCTCTGGTCCAGGGAAGAGGAGAGTAATGCAAAGGGTGGTGTATGGAAGATGAAAGTCCCCAAGGACAGCACGGTAGGTGTCTTTTGGTCTTTTCCCAGAACTGGCTAAGCTTGGGGCTGTTGTTGACTGCATGTGATGAGCATTTTGTGCTTTTCAGACAGCTTGTCTAACTGGCAGTCTTTGAACAGGCCTGAGGGTGAAAAATTCTGTTCTGACCTTGGTGATTTTCTGCCTGACACTGTCACCTCGAAAATGTATTAACTGTGCTTCTCTATAGACATGGTGGAATTGCGTGAGTGTACCATGTAGTTCACAAGAATAAATGTAAACTTTACAGAAAAGCTGATTGATTTTCTTTACAGAAGTCATTACCTTGCCAGCCACCGCTAACATAGAGGTTGGTTTTACATAGTAGGAAGCAGGATCCTTCCCACTAAAGGCTTATTCTTCTTCCACTGGGGGTGGGGGGGAGTGGGGAGCAAAAACAGTTCTAAGAATGACCAGCATGGAGAATGAGGAAGCTTGGCACCTCACCATTCTTTGGGTTTTCATGAGAGGCTGCCCTGCCTCCCTCTGGGGCTTATGAGAGCCTGATTGGTGTGACGAGCTGGTGGGATGCTGGTTTGCAGTGGCCAAGTCTCAAAATTTCCCAGGAGTAGACTCTAATTATCATATTGACTGAAAATGAACATGAACATTAAAATTGGTTATCGTAAACCTTGGGAAACTAACAAGCTTCTTTGAAAATGAACAAAGGGAAAATGCTATCCAGTCTCACCTTTTCATGGTTTCTTTCATGTGAATAAGCTCAAATAACTGAAATGTCTCCAGGGATTCATATGCTTGAGCTGCAGTCATTTCCCTATAAGCACAAACCTAAAGATATGACTAGATTTCTTTAACAAGGGTGCAACCTATTAGTCAAGATGTATAGCTTCAAGATTTCACTGTTATTTGGCACACATAGTAATAAATATTAGAGGAGCAAATATCAACCAGGCAAGTCATAGGAAAACCCTTCACACACCTCCTAAAAAAGAGAGCGAGTAGAAGATATAAGAGAAGACTTTTCATATTCCTTATTTACTCACACTGGACTTTGAACTCCAGTAGAAGCAATCATGATGCCAACATTCACTGAAAAGTGGCTGAAAGACAGTTTTGCCGTTTTCCTCCTTATTAGCTCACTTGGCTACGTTCAGACACAAATAATAACACTTTCATGTCCGTAGAAGTACCCTCATCCCAAGTTCAGCCTGCTCTTTATCGTTGATCAGACAGAGTCTTATGGAACAACCTTGTGTGAATTCAAAGCAGGATTAAGTTTCCCTTCCCCTAACTTCCTCTCCCCACTTTCAGCTTCGTCACTAGCAGAGTAAAGGACCCCAACTGATCAGACAGAAAATAGAAGTGATGATTTGTAGATGGGAGACTAGTACACCAAAAGAGAGGGTCTAAGAAAGAGAAAAGAAAAACCTCCTTGAGGGTGAGAGATCACTTTTCAGTTCTCTAGTTAACTGCCATGTCTTTAGTTAAAAATTCAGCTAGCTGACTTTAAGCTTGTGAGGGCATAATACTAAACACGGTTATTATAGTTAATATGTCTTAAGCACCTGGCATATAGCAAACATGTAGCTATTTATGGGGTAGATCTTAAATGTTGAGTCCTTTTATTGCAGTTATTGTGCTAAGCCCTTTGAATGCATTTGTTGACTAATATCCTACTCACAAAAACCCTGGGAGGTCAACCCTATTGCTATTTCTTGCTCACTTAAAGAAACGGATGTGCAGAGAGGTTAATAACCTACCTGGGTCACAGATAGTAAGCAGTCTCTCTGGATTCAGACCCAGTCTGAGAGATTTTGGAGCCTGTGAACCATGGCAAGAAGGATAAATGGGATCAAGAACTTTTCAAGGGGAATAACTGGAGGAACTTTTAGGCTTCAGTAACCTGTGAGTTGGTTCTGGCTATTTATTGGATGACATTAATAGCTTGTGAATAGAAAACACTCCAGTGTTTCTCATTGGTGGGAGGTAGACCAGAACATGTACAAATACTTCCAGGGAAATTGCATATATTCATACATAAAGTTCTATCACAGCTAGCATAAACAATCTGCCACAAGAGAATGGAATTCTCCAAGTCTCTAGTAGTAAAGAAACAAGAAATTCCCCAAAGTGGTTCTTTACTTGTGTAACTTTTGAAGTATCTTATAAGCTATAAGAAAAACAGAAGGGTACTTAAGAGAATGATTTTGCTATTAGCCTTCAAATAGAATCAGTTTATACACTTTGAACCCATGAGAGGTAAGGAAATTGGAAATTTTAAGTTGTTTGAATGCATTTTTCCCCATTCTCCTGAATTTTACCACAGATTAGTTTTCAGAAGACCTTGGATCACTTGTATCTGTGTGAAGCTATTTATAAACCAGTATAACATGTGCCATTGTTGTAACATTGACCGATGATTTGGAGATATCTGCAGGCTTCAACTATGAACACTGAATGTGCATGTGACGTTAAAATGAAATGTGCTCAGCTCCTAAAGATGATTGTCTAAAAATATATGTGTTTTGTTTTGTTTTTGTTTTTTATTCTTTCCCCACATCAGTCCACAGTTTGGAAAGAGTTGTTGTTAGCAACTATCGGGGAACAGTTCACAGACTGTGCCGCAGCAGGTAAAGCAGCCCACAGCTCTGTCATCCATGCTGCACACATGCTTGGCTTGCACTTGTTCTTGCTGGAGTCTGTTGTTATGTGTTTTACCTTTTTCATGTTTTGACATTGTTTATTTTGTAACTATGAAATTACTCATTTTTTGGTCACATGATTGTGCTTGGTGTTAGATATGGGTGTCTATATACACATGTATATTTACACATGTGTTTATTATATTCATATGTATCTACATATTCATTTTTTTCCCCATCACTTGACTTAATAGTATGTACAACCATCTGTCCAAAATCAATAGGCAAAAAGAAAAGAAAAACTTGACATCAACTGGGCTATGAACATAATTTGTAGTAGGTTTCTTTTATCTCAGGGGTCCCCAACCCCCAGGCTGGGGACTGGTACCAGTCCTTAACCTGTTAGGAGCCAGACTACACAGCAGGAAGTGAGTGGTGGGTGAGCAGAGTTCTGCCTTCTGTCAGATTAGTGGTGGCATTAGATTCTCATAGGAATGGGAACCCTATTGTGAACTACACATGTGAGGGCTTTAGGTTGTGCTCTCCTTGGAGAATCCAGTGCCTGATGATCCCCCTCCCCCATGGAAAAATTGTCTTCCATGAAACTGGTCCCTGATACCTAAAAGGTTAGAGACCACTGCTTTATCTGTTTCAATTCTTCCAGAAGGGGAAAGTGCCTTTGGTATCTACTGATGTTTGTAGATAGGCAGACATAGTCCTCTTGTTCCTTTCAATCCCTTCTCTCTTCCTCTTGATCCCAAGCTCAAAGAGGACTAGAGTGGGAAAGCTCACTGATACTACCCATGATCCCACAGTGGAGGATAAAACATAAGGTCTTTGGGACCTTCCTGTGGAGACCCCTTCCAAATGCTCAGTGAATTTCTGAGAGCCTCTGTGAGTATTTTTTTGTTTTGCTTTGTGTTTACCGTGAAACCACTCAAGGAGGAGAATTTAAGGGCTTGTTGGAACTTTCTATTTATTTTTGGGTAGTTCTGAATGCTTGTGAGGTAACATTTAGAGTAATATTTTTCTTGTTCAGTTTTCAGTTAAGTTTGTTTTTGTTTTTGTTTTTTAGCTAATGGCATCGATCAGTTGACCTTCAGACTTCTTAGACTGTGCCATCTTTGAGAGTCTCTATAGGCCTTGCCAGTCCCATGGCAAGTTTCAAATTCATTTCACTAGTATTTTCAGTAACTCTACTGTTGCCTTGCTTATTTCTTACACCACTTTTTATTCATGTAAGACAAAATTTGGGATGAGATAAAAATTTTCTATAAGTACAGATAGATTCCTTCTGTTTTAATAGGAAGTAGTTAGCAACTTGATAATATACGGCCAAAAATGCATCCTATGTATAATTATGAATGCTTAAGTCCCTGGGAGAGGAAGTTTTCTGCATGAATTATTCCCATTTCTGGAACCAAGGAAAAATAGTCTGTATAATAGTAAACAGCCAGTACTGAATAAAGAAGACCAATTGTTCTGTGGTTGACTTAGGAAATGAGAATACCATTAATTGTTAACCATGAGCTCTTTCATTAACTAGCTCTGCCCATTGAAGCAAGTCACTTAATCTCTCTGGGCCTCACTTCCCTCATCTTTAAGCAGTGGCCCCTCCTATCTCTAATGCCTTATGCTGCCAGTAACCTAAAATAATCAAGGTTTTGATGGTTGAGTCTACTCATGAATATTAAATGTTTGTGGATACATCTACCTTTGCTTAAGAGTTGTAGCCTCTTTGCCATACCGTTTTTGAAAGTGCTGTACTAGTAACTATGCCTAGTTACCAAAAGCCAAACAGAACTGAAATGTTGATAGTTCAACATGTACAACGTGTATCGGTTACATCATCCTCTGACCAGTAGTGTAGACATGGGCAATACCAAAAGACTGGAAAACTCGAACATTTCCCTAGAAGGTTGATCTGGTGATTCAATGGGCTTTCTTAACAGCGATAGACTGCAAAAATTCCCTCTTTATTTCATAATTTTTATTTACACACAAAATGTTACATTGAACTCTGCAAGACTATTTTTAACATGTAAATTTTTTTTGAGTTGGAGTCTCACTCTGTCACCCAGACTGGAGTGCAGTGGCAGCTCACGGCCACCGCAGCCTCGACCTGCTGGGCTCCGGTGATCCTTCTGCCTCAACCTTCCAAGTAGCTGGAACTACAGGCGCGTGCTACCACACCCGGCTAATTTTTTTGATTTATTGTAGAGATGAGGTCTCACCAAGTTGCCCAGGCAGATCTCGAACCCATGGGCTCAGGCAATCCACTCACCTCAGCCTCCCAAAGCGTGAGATTACAGGCTGAGCCACCGAGCCCAGCTTTTAATGTGTAAATTTAAAAGCAAAAAACCTGTATCTAAAAGATATTTTCTTGATGGGATTATACATTTCTTTGGATTGCCATGATTAGGTACTATATATATTCTTGTTTAAGCGTGACATATATGCAGAAAAATACGTTATATGTGTATAGCTTGATAAATATGCACAAAATGAGCATATCTCTGTAACTAGCATCCAGATAGAGGAGCAGGACATTGTCAGCCCCCTAGACCCCTTCCCCATCTTCCCTTCCTTCAGAGGTAACCACCAATCTAATTTCTAACATCATAGGCTAATTTTGCCTTTTTATTTTTTATTTTTTTTGAGTTGGAGTCTCACTCTGTCACCCAGACTGGAATGCAGTGGCTGTTCCTGGCCACCGCAGCCTCGACCCGCTGGGCTCCAGCGATCCTTCCGCCTCAGCCTTCCAAGTAACTGGAACTACAGA